GGGTCTCTTGTAGACAGCATATATATGGGTCTTGTTTCTGTGTCCATCCAGCCAGTGTATGTCTTTTGGTTGGATCATTTAATCCATTTCCATTTAAGGTAATTATCAATATGTATGTTCCTATTACCATTTTCTCAATTGTTGTGGGTTTTATTTTTGTAGGTCTTTTCCTACTCTTATGTTTCCTGCCTAGAGAAGTTCCTTTAGCATTTGTTGTAAAGCTGTTTTGTGGTGCTGAATTCTCTAAGATTTTTCTTGTTTTGTAAAGGTTTTGATTTCCTTGTCGAATCTGAATGAGATCTTTGCTGGGCAGAGTAATCTTGGTTGTAGTTTTTTCCCTTTCATCTCTTTAAATATGTTCTGCCACTCCCTTCTGGCTTGCAGAGTTTCTGCTGAAAGATCAGCTGTTAACCTTATGGGGACTCCCATGTATGTTATTTGTTGTTTACCCCTTGCAGCTTTTAATATTTTTTCCTTGTATTTAATTTTTGACTGTTTGATTAATATGTGTCTTGACGTGTTTCTCCTTGGATTTATCATCTATGGGATTCTCTGAGCTTTCTAGACTTGATTATTTCCTTTCCCATATTAGGGAAATTTTCAACTATAATCTCTTCAAATATTTCTCAGTCCCTTTCTTTTTCTCTTCTTCTTCTGGGACCCCTATAATTCGAATGTTGGTGCATTTAATGTTGTCCCAGAGGTCTCTGAGACTGTTGTCAATTTTTCTCATTCTTTTTTCTGGTCTGAGGTAGTTATTTCCACTATTTTATCTTCCAGGTCACTTATCCATTCTTCTGCCTCTGTTATTCTGCTATTGATTCCTTCTAGAGAATTTTAAATTTCATTCATTGTGTTGTTCATCATTGTTTGTTTGCTCCTTAGTTCTTCTGGGTCCTTGTTAAACGTTTCTTGTATTTTCTGTTTCCAAGATTTTGGATCATCTTTACTATCATTACTCTGAATTTTTTTTCAGGTAGGCTGCCTATTTCCTCTTCATTTTTTGGTGTGGTGTGTTTTTACTTTGCTCCTTCATCTGCTGTGTGTTTCTATGTCTTGTCATTTTGCCTCACTTACTGTGTTTGGGGTCTCCTTTTCACAGGCTGCAGGTTCATATTTCCTGTTGTTTTTGGTGTCTGCCCCCAGTGGGTAACATTTGTTCAGTGGGTTGTGTAGGCTTCCTGGTGGAGGGGACTAGTGCCTGTGTTCTGGTGGATAAGGCTGGATCTTGTCTTTCTGGTGGGCAGGACCATGTCCAGTGGTGTGTTTTGTGGTGTCTGTGACATTATTATGATTTTAGGCAGCCTCTCTGCTAATGGGTGGGATTGTGGTCCTGCCTTGCTAGTTGTTTGGTGTAGGGTGTCCAGCACTCTGGCTGCTGGTTTTGAGTGGAGCTGGGTCTTACCGTTCAGATGGAGATCTCTGGGAGAGCTTTTGCTGTTTAATATTCCATCGAGCCAGGTGGTCTCTGGTGGACTAGTGTCCTGAACTCAGCTCTGCCACCTCAGAAGCACATGCCTGACACCCAGCTGGGCTCACCAAGACCCTGTCAACCACACAGCTCAGAAGAAAAAGGAGAAAAAAAGAAAGAAAGAAAGAAAGAAAAGAAAAGAAAGTTATTAAAATAAAAATTATTAAAAAGTAAAGAAAAAAGAAAGAAGAGAGCAACCAAACCAAAAAACAATCCACCAATGATAAGAAGAGCTAAAAAACTATACTAAAAAAACACAAAAAACAAAAAAATGGATAGAACCGTAGGAAAAATGGTAAAAGCAAAGCTCTACAGACAAAATCACACAAAGGCCACCGCCTCATTGTCTATTCAGGTATTACAGAGATGCAGGGTACATCACATTGATTGTGGAGATTTATTCTCTTGCTCCTTGTGGCTGCTGGGAGAGGTTTCCCTTTCTCTTCTTTGTTCTCACAGGTTCTGGGGTTCAGCTTTGGATTGGCCCTTCCTCTGCGTGTAGGTCGCCTGAGGGCGTCTGTTCTTCGCTCAGACAGGATGGGGTTTAAAGGAGCAGCTGATCAGGGGGCTCTGGCTCACTCAGGCCGGAGGGAGGGAGGGCATGGAATGTGGGGCAAGCCTGCAGCGGCAGAGGCCGGCATGACGTTGCAACAGCCTTAGGCGCCCCGTGTGTTCTCCTGGGGAAGTGGTCCCTGGATCACAGGACCCTGGCAGTGGCGGGCTGCACAGGCTCCCAGGAGGGAGGTGTGGATAGTGACCTGTGCTTGCACACATGCTTGGTGGCTGCAGCAGCAGCCTTAGCGTTTCATGCCCGTCTCTGGTGTCCCCACTGATAGGCGCAGCTCACGTCCGTCTCTGGAGCTCGTTTAGGCAGTGCTCTGAATCCCCTCCGCTTGGGCACCCCAAAACAATGGTCTCTTGCCTCTTAGGCAGTTCCAGACTTTGTCCCAGACTCCCTCCTGGCTGGCTAGCTGTGGCATAGTAGCCCCCTTCAGCCTGTGTTCACGCAGCCAACCCCAGTCCTCTCCCTGGGATCTGACCTCCGAAGCTGGAGCCTCAGCTCCCAGCCCCCACCCATCCCAGCAGGTAAGCAGACAAGCTTGTCAGGCTGGTGAGTGCTGGTCGGCACCGATCCTCTTGCGGGAATCTCTCTGCTTTGCCCTCTGCACCCCTGCACCCCTCCGAAGCTTCCGCCCCCCGCCACCGGCAGTCTCCGCCCACGAAGGGGCTTCCTAGTGTGTGGAAACTTTTCCTTCTTCACACCTCCCTCCCAGAGGGGCAGGTCCTGTCCCTATTCTTTTGTCTCTGTTTTTTCTTTTTTCTTTTGCCCTACCCAGGTACGTGGGGAGTTTCTTTCCTTTTGGGAAGTCTGAGGTCTTCTGCCAGCGTTCAGTAGGTGTTCTGTAGGAGTTGTTCCACATATAGATGTATTTCTGATGTATTTGTGGGGAGGAAGGTGATCTCCACATCTTACTCCTCTACCATCTTGAAGGTCTCCCCTTCTCATTTTAAATACAATAAAAATACTTTTAGTTAAGTAATTTATCCAAAGTCATACAGAAAGTAGGCAGGAAGCCAGATTTTAAGCCAAGCAATCTAATCTGAAAGATCAAACACCTGTTCCTTTGTACATTATCTAGACATGTCACAAGACCAAGGTCCGTGGAGGACTTGCAGCTATTGGGGCCACTGAAATTCCCTCCAGTCATCTCCCTCCACAGGCCTCTCATGCACTCAAGGAACAAAACATCCAAATGACTGAACACTTTCCGGTCTCATTCTTTTTGAGCCCTTATACATGCCAGCCATTGGGCCAGGCTTTTCACATACATATCCCATATTAGAGAAGAAGAAACTGAGGCAGGAGATCCAGAAACTCGCATAAGATGACAGAATTAAAAACCAGGAGGGCCTGGACTCAAATCCAAACAATCTGACTCGGGGGTAAGTCTGTGTTCTTAGTCATACTGCGCTGTCTCCTCAGCATCTGAATCAGCGCGCACAACTTCCCCAGGCCAAGAAGTGTTCATGTATACCCATATTAAATATAAGTAATATATCCATTTATTTTTTCATCCACTTATCGGTGTGAATGACTTCTCTTCAAAATTATACAGCCATCATTGCCACCACTGAGTCATACTTTTGGAGATAGAATATTTTGGAAGTGAAGGTGAAAGGAAAAGATAACTTAGAGAACTCGAGGAAGGGGAGTCAATCTAGGTCAGGAAGTGACCTCACAAACTTGCAGTAGAGTGAAGGCAAGAATGTAGGTCAAACAAGATTAGAGTTCAAAATAGGATCTGAACCTGAGAAGGCACAGGGTGATGGATGTATATTTTATCTGCCTCATAAATAAATGCAGATGCATTATATCTTATGTATTCCACTTACCCCTTAGCAATATAGTAGTTAATATAAAGATTTTAGATTTAGACTATTTGAGATTTGACTTTTTACTCTATCATTAAACATGACCTCAGCAAATTTCCAAATTTCATCATCTACAAATGGGGTTAGACATACCAACATCCCCAATTCGTCCTGAAAAACAATTGAAATAATATTGTATTAGGTGCTACAGAAAGTAGTTGCTAAATTTTTATTATGGGTAGCTATTATTTTAACTTTGCTTCGCTTTCCTGAGTTTTGTAGTCTCAACTTGAAAATGTTAACCTGATATATTTCATTTTGCTTTTCCAGTTTTCTTCTACTTCTCATAAAGTACAGCATGGTAGATTCCAGTAATATTAAAACATCTGTGTATCTCTAGTAGTAGTGTTGTACAGTAAGGTGACTTTTTTTTTTTTTTTTGCGATACACGGGCCTCTCAGTGTTTTGGCCTCTCCCATTGCGGAGCACAGGCTCCGGACGCGCAGACCCAGCGGCCATGGCTCACGGGCCCAGCCGTTCCGCGGCATGCAGGATCTTCCCAGACCGGGGCACGAACCCATGTCCCCTGCATCGGCAGGCGGGCTCTCAACCACTGCGCCACCAGGGAAGCCCGTAAGGTGACTTTTTAAAAACACATTAGGAATAATAGATTTGAAGTGACTTTATTCTATGCAGGGATTCATCACACACATTTTATCTAAACTGTTTACCCTGACCATTTGACCTGGCCTTGAAGAAGGTTTTGTTTTGTTTGTTTTTCTTAAAGTAGAATAAGTCACTTATTTAAAGATTATTCAAACAACTGTGCCTTGGATTTTTTGAATAAGTTGAATCTATATTTATATGGAAAGAAAAATGGTAATGTTTCCCAGTTGATTTAGGCTGTTGTTAAGTGAAATAAGATTGACTGAGGTAGGGCCTCTCTTACCTCTTGCATTGTATGAAGGTACTTTATTTGGAAAACTTTAATTTTTTTTCTGTTCATAGTTTATATACAGTGAATAGCATTTTAATATAAGAAATGCAAATTTAGGTGTTAAGGTGTCATGGGAAGCTTTAAATGTAGCACAGTTATAATGGAAAAACAATGGTTTCACATACTTAGGTTTTTATTATTATTTTTTTTTATTTGCAGGATGAGTAAGAGATACTTACAGAAAGCAACAAAAGGAAAACTGCTAATAATAATATTTATTGTAACCTTGTGGGGGAAAGTTGTGTCCAGTGCAAACCATCATAAAGGTAAGCTGTTCTGTTTTCTTCCTCAGCTCTCTGAGGAAGGGGACTCCCTTTAACACAAACTATTAGGTTCTGCTTTTACTGATCAGTTAATTTTACTAAATGTGGGTCTGCCCATGGCAATTCTCTTTAAGTAAAAATGTAGAAAGAGTTATTCTTAATATGACTTTGATAGGTAATGAATGATTATTTAAATGTTTCCAGGATTACTGACACTTCTGCAAATAATGTTCAAAGAGTATGGAATCGTGACTTTGTTTTCTTCTTAGCATTTCCATTTTTAAGATAATGACGTTAAAATGTTGAGTTGACACGTAATAAAGATGAGTTTCAAATTGCAGTCATCCTATAATGAAACCATCTTTAATGATATGTATCTTAATAATACGTATACATGTAAATTTCCTTTCCGTGCTTTTTGTAGATCATATTTCTTCATGCCAGAGTACATCTCTGGCCACTCTTTTGATTCTACCCCAGTATGATATTGAGAAGGCTCAATTCTGCCATAGAACAGGGTGACGATATTTGTTTTATATGTGTGTGTTAAGCTTGACAGCTCAAAATTATGCCCTTTCTGTTCTCTTTTCTGAGCATAAGACTCAGTATAGTGAATACTTTTTCCAAATGAATTAAAATTCCATTTAATTTTATTTTAGTCTATTTCTGGACTGTCCCTACCATAATCAAGTATTCATAACCTGAAAAGTCAATTTAGATTTTTCTGTGAAATATGATTTTACAATTCTGTTCTCTTTCCTCTGTAAAGTCCACAGACTAGCAACTTACTTTCTTGTTTTATTTTTGATTGAAGAGAAAGTTAAGACTGCCTTGAATTTTGTAACACTTAAAATACTTACACATGTGCATTTAATTAGCATTTAATTATGGAACAAGTACACCAGGGAATGGAAAGATGTGGTGTGAGGGAGGGATGCTTATAAGACAAAATCTTTTCCCCCTGTGTTTAAAACCAAAAAGAGTCATCTTTCAAAATATGAATTTTATAAAGAGGTCCTTCATATTTCACAATCCTGTTTTTGCCCCACAGTGTGTGTGTGTGTGTGTGTGTGTGTGTGTGCATTTCTTCTCTTCTTTAGTACAGCACTTGGATCCATAGATAAAACTTTAAATTCTCTTTAATAAGGGTTACTGGTATAAAATTAAGAAGTCGTTAAGGAAGATGTTATTCATGTGCCTCCAAATTGGCTACAGTGAACCAAACTGAAGGACAAAGCAGCCTTAAATATTTACCTTTTAAAAAGGGGCAAACCGCTGGGGCCAGGCCCCATGCCTTGGGCTTAACAGGAGAAGACACATCATCCATACATGGTCACCCCAGTGCACCTTCCCAGCCTATAAAAGTAGAATTGAGAGCTTTGGGGGAGATTCATAGTAATTGTGGGTGTCATCCCAGCAAAGCAAGGGTTCATGATAAGGATGCTTTCTCATCTCCAAAGCCAAGTGATGGGGTCTCTAAGAGAATCATTCATGAGGACTGCTCCACAGTGAATATTGCATACAATTTTTAAAGCTGTTTTTAAGAATTTTTAAGTTGTCTTATGTTCTATGCTAACTCCAAAACTAAGATTTTTTCTTACTTTTTGCCGAAAAATATATTTCTTGAACATAAGAGATTATACCTTGACTCAGAAAACTCAAAGTGCCAAACTCAAAGTTCTAAAACATTATAGAAGATAAACTTTTGTGTTGTTTTGCTGATCCATTTCCACCCTACCAATAATATTTTGGAGGAAGAATTTAGGAAAGATTTCTCTGCCTCTCCCTCTTTCCCTCTTTCCCCTTTTCCTTTCTTTCTTCCCTTTACATTTTCCATGCAAAATGCCCCCTTTGTTTAAACTGTTTTACATTTAATAAGTGTAATGTACATATATGTTTTAGGACCTATTCATAAAATGAACACAAGTGTGCTCACCCCCGAGTTGAGACATGTAACATATCTAATCCTCTTGAACCTGATTGTGTCTGCCACTCTAATTTCATTCCTTTGCCTCCTTACCCAAGTTAATCACTATTCTAAATTTTGTGATTATAATTCCCTTGCTTTTATTTATAATTTCACCATGTATTTATACATATCCAAATGGCATGCTGCTTAATTCTGTTGTTATTGAATTTACATAATAGTATTATACTGTGTTTTTCTGTAATTTGCTAATTTGCCCAACAATATATTTGTGACATTCATTATACTTGATGGTAACTATAGTTAATACTAATTTTTTTTTACCATTGCCCCATATTTTGTTGTATGAAGTCACCACAATTTATGTATTTATTCTCTTGTACCTGAACAGTTGGTGTTCTATTTTCTTGTCATTATGAACTATGCTTCTATGAATATTCTACTTCTTTCCTGGTGCACATGTGCAAGGGTTTCTCAAGAGTACATTCCAAGAAGCAAAATTCTGGGTCACAGGGCATTGCATATCTTCAGTCTTACCAGATTATGTGAAATGCTTTTTTCCAAAGTGATAGTACTAAGAAAGTTGTTCAAGTTATTTCTTTTTACTGATGTATAGTAGATTTACAATATTATATTAATTTCAGGTATACAACATAGTAATTCAATATTTGTATAGATTATATTCCATTTAAAGATTTTATAAAATATTGGCTATATTCCCTGTACTGTACAATATACCATTTTAGCTTATTTTATACATAATAGTTTGTACCTCTTAATCCTCTATCCCTATGCTTCCCCTCCCTCCTTTCCTCTCCCCACTGTTAATCACTAGTTTGTTCTCTATATCTGTGAGACTGTTTCTGTTTTTTTATATTCATTTGTTTATTTTAATAACATACAGTATTTGTCTGACTAATTTCACTAAGCACAATAACCTCCAGATCCATCCATGTTGTTGCAAATGGCAAATTTTCATTCCTTTTTATGGCTGAGTAGTATTCCTGTGTGTGTGTGTGTGTGTGTGTGTGTGTGTGTGTGTGTACTGCATCTTCTTTATCCATTCATCTTTTGATGGACATTTAGGTTGCTTCCGTAGCTTGGCTATTGTAAATAAGACTCCTTTGAGCACTGAGCGTATGAAAATTTCGAATTAGAGTTTGCGTGTGAATTTTTTTTTTAATTGAAGTATAGTTGATTTACAATGTTGTATTAGTTTCAAGTGTACAGCACAGTGATTCAGTTATACACATATATGTCGTGTGTGTGTGTGTGTGTGTGTGTGTGTATACAGATTCTTTTCTCAGATTCTTTTCCCTTATAGGTTATCACAAATATTGAGTATAATTCCCTGTGCTATACAGTAGGTTGTTGTTGGTTATCTATTTTATATATAGTAGTGTGTATATGTTAATCCCAACCTCCTAATTTATCCCTCTCCCACCTCTTTCCCACTTGGTAACCAAAAGCTTGTTTTCTATGTCTGTGAATCTATTTCTGTTTTGTAAACAAGTTCATTTGTATCTTTTTTTTTTTTGATTCCACATATAAGCAATATCATATGATATTTGTCTTTTTCTGTCTGACTTACTTCACTTAGTATGATAATATCTAGGTCCATCTGTGTTGCTGCAAATGGCATTATTTCATTATTTTTTATGGCTGAGTAGTATTCCATTGTATATATGTACCGCATCTTCTTTATCCCTTCATTTGTCGATGGACATTTAGGTTGCTTCTATGTCTTGTCTATTGTAAATAGTGCTGCAATGAACATTGGGGTGCATGTATCTTTTCAAATTATAGTTTTCTCCAGATATATTGGATATATACCCAGGAGTGGAGTTGTTGAATCATATGGTAGATCTATTTTTTTTTGTTTTTGGAGGCAACTTCATCCTGTTTTCCATAGCTGCTGCACCAATTTACATTCCCACCAATAGTGTACAAGAGTTGCCTTTTCTTCACATCCTTGCCAACATTTATTATTTGTGATCCTTTTTATGATAGCCATTTTGACAGGTGTGAGGTGATATCTCATTGTGGTTTTGATTTGCTTATCCCTGATTATTAGCGATGTTGAGCACCTTTTCATGTGCCTCTTGGCCATCTGTGTGTCTCCTTTGGAAAATTGCCTATTCAGTTATGCCCATATTTTTAATTAAGTTGTATGTTTTTTTGATTTTGAGTTGTATCAGTTGTTTATGTATATGGTATATTAATCCCTTATCTGTCATATCATTTGCAAATATTTTCACCCATTTAGTAGGTTGTCTTTTGTTTTGTTGATGGCTTCCTTTGCTGTGCAAAAGCTTTTAAGTTTAATTAGGTCCCATTTGTTTATTTTTGCTTTTGTTTCCATTACTTTAAGAGACAGATCCGAAAATATATTGCTATGATTTATGTCAAAGAGTGTTCTGCCTATGTTTTCTTCCAGGAGTTTTATGATTTCAGGTCTTACATTTAAGTCTTTAATCCATTTTGAGCTTATTTTTGTATATGGTTTGAGAAAATGTTCTAATTCCATTCTTTAACTTGTAGCTGTCCAGTTTTCCCACGACTTACTGAAGAGACTATTTTTTTTCCCCCATTGTATATACTTGCCTCCTCTGTCATAGATTAATTGACCATAAGTTCATGGCTTTATTTCTGGGCTCTCTGTTCCATTGATGTATTTCTATTTTCATGCCAGTACCATCCTAATTTGATGGCTGTAGCTTCTAAGTCAGGGAGTGTGACACCTCCAGTTCTGTTCTTCTTACTCAAGTTTGCTTTGTCTATTCAGGGCCTTTTGTGTTTCCCTACAAATTTTAGAATTATTCATTCTAGTTTTGCAAAAAAAAAAAAAAAAATGCCCAGCAGCACACTGCCCTCTTGTCATCCAAGCGATATGCTCTCAGAATTCCCCCTGAGAGGGCTGCCTAGGTCCTTCTGTTGTGGCAGGCTAACTATGTAGGCTGACTGGTGGGCTTTGTTGGCCCCTAGCCCAGTTGATTACCAGACCCTGCCTTGTGTGGATGTTGCTAGCTACTGACTAGTGGGGCCTGGTCATGAGGCAGCTGACTGCAGAACCCCA